TGCAGATATGTAGGTTACATGTGCCGCCCAAGTAAGATTAGAAGTGAAATGAATGCCGAGGTACTTATACGAAGACGACGGTGACACGTTGAAATTATTTATGGAGTAATCAAATTCAACAGTTAATCTTTTTCGACTAAAGAATATTACATTACATTTTGATAAATTTAAAGTCATTTGCCATGCACCACACCAGTTGTTAATGAGATTAAGGCCTTTTGGAGAGCAAGGTGGTCATCGGTACTAGTTATAGAACGGTATAGAATGCAATCGTCAGCAAAAAGCCGTATTGACAAAGAAATATTAGTTGGAAGATCATTAATGTAGATTAGAAAAAGTAGTGGCCCCAAGACGCTACCCTGAGGCACTCCGGAGGTGACATCAGAAATTGGAGAGGAAGAGGTATTAACCAGAGTGAACTGCTTTCGAAAAGAGAAAAAGTTACGGATCCACGATAAGGTTAGCCAATCTAAACAAAGTTCTGTTCTGTTAATTTTGAAATCAGATGGGAATGAGGTACGCGGTCGAATGCTTTAGAAAAATCTAGGAAAATTCAGTCAGTTTGTAAATTATTATCCATATTGAAGTGAAGATCAGTGGTAAATTCCAGTAATTGGGTGTCGCAAGAAAAACCTCGCCTAAATCCATGCTGATTCTCAAAAAAGAAGTTATTGGTTTCCAAATGACAATAAATGTGCGAAGAAATGATATGCTCAAGCATCTTGCAGCAAATGCATGTTAGTGATATGGGGCGATAATTTTCTGGTGAGTATCTATTGCCACTTTTAAATAAGAGAACTACTTTACATATTTTCCAATCAGCCGGCAGTTGTCCTGTTGATAAAGATTGCGTGAAGATGTGGTACAGGATTTTACTTGAGCATAATGACGTGTTTTTGAGCACCTTAGAATTAATGTTATCAATGCCTGAAGAAGTTGATACGTAATTTAAGTTTTCCAATAAGATTCGCAATCCCTTCAGTGGTGACGGCAATAGGTTCCATGAATGTATAATCAAACTCGGGAACTTCGGGCACTCTGGAATGATCTTCACATGTGAACACAGATGAAAAAAATGAGTTCAACACTGAAGCGCTATCTACATCTGATAGAAGCATATGGTTAGCATCTTGTATACTGACAGATGTGATAGCATTGTGAGGGGAAATTACTTGCCAGAATTTTTTCGGATTAGTATTTAACATGGAAGGCAAATCGTGTGTAAAATATTTAGATTTCGCTTTGCTTACAAGAGAGCAGTACTCTTTCAAAGAACCCTCGTACTTTTCCCAATCTGAAGGGCTCGAAGTGCGTTTTGCAATTTTGTAGAGCCGCTTCTTCCTTGATCTATGAGACTTAATCCATTTTGTGAAACCAGGGATTTTTATTGTCGTTAGAGATAGAAATTAGGGGAATATATTTATCAACCAAAGTAATGATTTTGTTTTTGAAGAGAATCCAGTTTTCTTTGACTGATCTGTACGGGAAAGATGGAAGAAAAACCTGATCGTAAAAAGCTTCCAATTCATCATTTATACCTTCGTAATTACCTCTGTTATAGTCCCGAATTTTTTTAACAGTGCTATGTAATACGTGGGTTGGAAGGCAAAGTGTTATTTGAAGTAGCTTATGGTCACTGAAAACATCTACGTGCAGAATAGGACTAACAGTCTCATGAGCGTTAGTTAAAATTAAGTCTAAAATGTTTGTACCACGAGTCGGTTCCTTGACAACTTGAAACAGGTTATAATCTAGGGTTAGACTTACAAATTCTATTGCTTCGTGGCAGGTAGAAGTTAGGAGAGACCAATCAATCTCAGGAAAATTAAAGTCGCCGAGTAAGTATATAATATCAGGAGAGCATTGCCGAATTACGGAATCATCGCTTTTGCGCAGCTCTTCTACAAACGAGTTATCAGAGTCGGGAGGGCGATAGCAGACACCTATCAATATTTTTGTTGCTGATGTGATGCATGCAGTCCATACAATTTCAATAGTGGAGTCTTAAACCAATTTTCGCTAAAACAGAAAGATATAAAAACTCTCCTTTAGTCCTTGCAATCGCAGAATGGAACGCGTTACCTGCTCACATCGCAGAACTATCCGATTCATCATCTTTTCAACATGCACTCAAAACCTTTCTTGAAGTTCTTTGATGACGCATAAATCTTTATTTTGTTTTTCTTCTTCTTCTATGTTTTTTTCACACTGTTGTTGAGTGTACTGATCGCGCTTTTTTGTTCTTGTTTACTGTTTTTAAAGTGCATTTCGCGTGAACCCCTTTTTTCATTCAATGTAATCTATTGTTGTTTGGCATTGTTTCTGGATTGCATTTTCAGTTTCTCGATGCAGTAGACATGTATACCATCTCTGCCTTCATTTATGTTCTGTACTGTACTTGTGATCATAACCCCACTCTATCCCCCCCTATGTAATGCCCATTCGGGCCTTTAGGGTATTTAAATAAATAGAATAAATATATTGACGCAAAAGGATGACAGTGTTTTTTTAATAGCTAGTAGAACGCCACCGCCTCTATTTTTATCGCGGTCATGCCTAAATATGTTGTAGGCGCTGTTATCGGGGAGAAGCTCGTGATCGGGTATATCAGAATGAAGCCAAGTCTCTGTTATTGCTAAAATGTCAGGGTTACTATCTTCTAAAAATGAGCAAAGCTGATCGCATTTGGGTATAAGGCTGCGTATGTTAGTAAAACATAACTGCATGAATGGTGACTTGTTATAGTAATCTGAACACTTAGGTTCCGTTGCGCGTGCATGCTTTCTTTGCTATGTTTTGTGAAGTATAACGGAATCCGTTGCGTGATCATACATGTAGGTCTCGTCATCAATGCAGTTTGTCCACTGACAACTTTATTGGCTTCTTTAAGCGTTTGGCAAATTCAAGTAATTTTTTCCTACAATAACGTGTAGATGGCGAGAAGTCCTCGCCAATCGAAAAGTCGGTACCCTTTAGTTTATGCGCGGCAGAAAGAACTTTTTGTTTGTTTTTAAAGGAACTCATTTTAGCTATGATTGGCCGCTGCTTATCAGTCTTGTACTTTCCCAGTCTATGTACCCGTTCAAAGTGGTCGTTTGTTAGTGGGATGCCAAGTTTTTGAGAACAGAAAGTTATTATTTTTTCCTCGGATGTTGCCCAATCTTCTTTGTCTTCGTCATCTATACCAAAAAAGAGCAGATTGTCCCGCCGTTGCCTGTTTTCCGCGTCATCACATCTCATCGTTATAGACTGTAGCCTATCAGTAATATTGCGCAAAGACTCATTAGGCACAGAATCGAGTACAGTGGAATCAACTGCATTCTTTGCGGTTTCCAAGGCAGTAACTCTTTCCGTCAATTGCTTAATCTGCTGGTCAGCCACATCTTGCCTTTCCCGAACACTTTTCTATTCACTGAGTATTCTGGCCTGCCCAGCTTCAAGCCTGCCGACAACCTCCAAAACTGTGGCGACCTTGTTTTCCAAAGTAGGCCCAGGGTTCGTCTCGACATCGCCACAAACGATGAGCAACAGTTCAAACAGAGCATGGCACAGGCGCGCCGGAAGGTAGCATGCTCGCCTCACAGAATCGAACAATGTCGCTGGGCACGACACCTCAATCAAAAAACGATTGTCGCTCTTCACACAAACAGCGCACTTAAGGTAACTAACCTGAAAATACAAATACGACTAGAGTAAACTTCTTGTCCTTATTTTATTATGTATGTACACAGATACAGTGCTGCTGCTGTAGGCAGACCCCTTGTTTTTTCATAATGGCATAAAGTACGAATAAATGTAGTGGTTAGGGTCAGAAGAACACTGCACATGTATATAAAACTTTTTCAAGGCAATGAAAATTTGGAGGTGTTAAGGCCCTTGTGGGGAGTGGTGCAGCGTATGCCACTAAAAGAAAGCCTCTATGCAAGACAAAGCCTGTGCAAGCACATCAGTATAAATATTTATTACATGAAATGAAAAAGATAGCTAGTTAAGGAGTTTATATTTGAAAAGAATCAAAGAAGTTTTAGAATTGAATGTACAAGCATTGCATTACATTATACGGTTTATTTTTAAGAATTAATGGGTATCATTCATGCACCCTGTTCTAAAATCAGCGGGTGTTGTACCCACGACCACTGCTACACCTGTGAAGTGCATAAAAGCAGCCACAAACAAAGCAAAAACATTAAATATGTAGATAGATTTTTTTCATCAATGCAAACACCCCTCCAAACTAGGCCCATTTACTGTCTTTGGTAGTTCAAAGAATATCAAGGCTCTAGGAGTGCACCAACACAGGTTGGTGCACTTAATGTTGGTCAATTTAAGAAATTTGGTAATTTAGGTAGCAATGTTTAATCTATTACGGAGTGCACCGAAACAAGAAGAGGTGGTATGCCTGACATTTAGCTAAGTTGCAAAAGCATCAGTACTTCGCCTGTGCCAGGGATAGACCATTCGACTTAGGAGGGGGAGAGGCGTAGTAATTTATGCAGGGCCTCTCCAAAGTTTCGCATTCAAGCAACCCTATCTCCTCGCCGTTACAGTACAGATTGGCATTATGTGACGTGAATAAAAACATGATTGATTTGTGGGGTTTAACGTCCCAAAACTACCACATAATTATGAGAGACACCGTAGTGGAGAGCTCCGGAAATTTCGACCACCGGGGGTTCTTTAACGTGCACCCAAATATGAGCCTACGGGCCTACAGCATTTTCACCTCCATCGAAAATGCAGCCACCGCAGCTGGGATTCGATGACACGGCGGGGCAGTAGAAACATTCTGTATAACGTCATTAGTAGAGCCATATTGCGGCACGTCACTACGGATATTGTTGCTGGCAGAATAGAAAGAACCTCTAAGCGGCACGGCGTTTGTTACTGACCATCGAGTGACATTTACAAAGTAGCGATGCTTATCCAACATCGTCGTGCACGCAACTAGAGTGCACTAGAAAGTAGATTCCAATCTAACAGTGTTCAAAGAATAGCATGGCCAGAAGAAGAGCAACTGCTTTAATGGAACCGCCTACGGTGCCGAGTTCACGGCGATGTTATATTGTCCGCACAGAACGCAAGGTCGCAAAAAGAAAGAAAAATAAACTGTGAGCGCGACTCCTGCGATCTTTTCTGGGGGGAACGACGCGCAGTCTTGTCGGCGGACATCAGGGTATTCCGGTGGGAGTGATGAACGATATGGCATCGCCGAATGCTCCCCACTGGACGCGGTTGAGCTGGAAGTACGTCACCCAGGCGACCAGCACGACGGTCCACAGCGAGGCGCCGATAGCCGACCTGATCACGTACGCCTTGATCATCTTCTGCTCCTCGAACGGCTGCCGGATGAAGGCCTCTCGAAAGAACCACACCGCATTCACCAGCCACAGGAAGGGCAGCGCGAAGAAGCCGCCCCGGTAGTACCACCGACACAGTCGCAGCTTCTCGTCGTCCTTCACTTTGCGCAGATCCATGGCTTTTGTGGACGACGCGGAAGCGTCAGGAAGCGTTCGTCACGCGCACGCTTGGGGCCTTTGAAATCCGGCAGATCGTGCAGTTAAGTCGAACAATGATTATTTGATCACGTACGACGGCGTACCAGAGAACTCCCGCTGGATAGTGGGGGCCGATTCTGCGGCTCGTACTGGCTGGTACAGCAGAAATTGGTTCGTAATGATGTCCATAGCTATGTCGACGATGTAGAAGCATGCAGTTCCGTTTCTATTTCAGAACTCCTATAACGCTTTACTATTCTTCTCCTGCAAATCATCTTTTATTTTCACGTCATTGTTCTTTTTTCTAAATTCTCAGTAAAGCTATCAGGTTGCATATTGATTTTATTAATAATCAAGCTTACTCATCATTTTTTCACACTGCCACATACTCACACTGCATTTTCTCAAAAACTCCTTTCAGATAATCATTGGAGTGCTGCGACAGTTTCTCCAACACTTTAGGACCTTCTGCTGTAATAAGCTAGCCACGCAACTCAACTGAACTATTTAATGTACTTGACTAGTGCTGCTCATCGAGATTGTGCACAGTTTAGAATTGAAAACTAACGCCAGGTACCACAGAATTACTGCCCTTGTTGCCACTCATGTTGCTGCCAGCCCGTTAACGCTAACAGAGTTAAACAAACTATTTGTAAGGCAACGTAAGGGTTTTATCACAATGCTCACAAATTACACAGTCATCTTAATTGCACGATTCAGTTGTAACTACACTGAGTAAGCAGAAATGCATTAGTTAGGGCTGGTTTGAATAGAAGACCCCCTAACAGAACAATGCTGCAAGAGCATAGGAACAGCAATAAATGCTGCACTCTAGATTGGCAACTCAGCCATTCATGTGTAAGCCAGTTGCACCATTAATGCAATAACTCCCCTTCTAAACTGTCTTGTGTTGTCTTTTTAGGCTACAGTTCTTACTTCTCGTATAAAACAACACAGACGCACGTGATGCAGAGAATACCTGAAAGGTTTCTTTTGCACTATCACATCATATATACCTAATTAACATTCTTGAATCCGTCCAAAATCGTGCCGCCAGATTCATCTCCGCAAATTACGACAAACGAGCAAGCATCAGTCAAATCAAATCATCCCTCGGTCTCCCTGTTTTGTCAGCTCGACGCAAAATTTCACGTCTCTGTCTCTTTCACAAACTTTACTACAGCTTTCCTCACCTACATGGCTCACTTTTACTTCCGCCTGTCCGAACATCTCGTCGCCTATTTAATTCCCTGAGTATCCAACGTCTGTTTGGTTCTACTAACGCTTTTAATAAATCATTTCTTGCTACGGCTATCGATGAGTGGAACGGTTTGACGGATGCTATTGTCAGCGAAAAAGTTGCTTTTAAATTTAGAGATTTATTACTAGCTACCCTTGACTCTTAATCGCTGTTTGTCTTTCTTTGTTGTTTGTTCTCTGCCGCCTGTATATTTTGGACCGCGAATTGACTGTTGAATATTTCGTTTGACATGCTCTGTTTTCTTTTTGTTTTTTGTTGCTACCTGTATGTTTTAGTAATTCAAAAACTGTAACCATGAACTGCATTTTCATTGAAATTTGTACTTGGATTGTTCCCCCCCCCCCCTTATGTAATGCCCCGAGAGAGGCCCTTAAGGGTAAAATAAATGATGATGATGAAATAAATTTCTTGTCAGGCAAAAAATTTATATCATAGGTTTCTATATAAATTTAAGAAAAATCACCTTCATACATTTCTAATGTGCATGTGTGTAGTAAAATGCATACTATAGGCCATGAAGAGACTGAAATTTTCATACCCAACTACTGCATGGTGAAATGCAACAGCATTATCCCCTTCTCTTTGCTTGGCAATGACTTTATTTGTTGTGTACAAGCCGTTTCAACTGCAACTCTTCCATAAATGCAGTCTCCACACACCAGCCGGTTGGCGCAGTCAAAGTGCTAATATATTTGCATTAACACAAAAAATGCTGTCAAGCCCACAGCTCTAAAACAGATTCTTCAGCATGCTACTTGTAAAGCACGCTTATGAATCACTGCTCGGAAGCACGTAGAATTGCACACACAAAAGCACGCCTCTTTTACGACAAATGCCCAAATTTGCACGATACAATATTCAAGAGAAAGAAAAAGCCCAGGGCTACAGACATTGCACTGCATATTTTATTGGCCTAATCTGCAAACAGATGAGTCGTTTGAACCTACAATTTTCTCTCTAAGCAATGCTCCCTTGCACTGAGTGACAGCTAAAAAAGCACGCTTGAATATGCAACAAAACCTCACTAATGCTGCCATATGACCACTTGTCAGCTCTCTCAGGCAAGTCTCAAAATGTTGCAATTGCAGATTTCTATGAACATGCGATGCGAAAGCTGTGCCGATCAAAAGATAACGAATGTTTAAGGAAAAGAGGTACTTGAAGTGATAAAATCGCGGTTAAATAAAAGATGTCCTTAAATAATAATAAGAGAATAATAATTATCATTATTATTAATAAATAATAATAAGGGAATAAGGGAGGCCTTAAATACTTTAAAAACCAGTCTGCGGTTATGTAGAAATGCAAAGATCAAGACCACAAACTACTATCTTGCCAAATATGTTTAAGCAAAAGAAAAGCAGTGGCAAGCCCAACTTCTCAACAAATTTTCACTATAATACAAGCCAGGTACAGAAAATGAAAGTACTTAAAGGGACAGTAAAGAGAAAACAGAATTTTCTCGTGTTAGTGAATAGCCCTTTCACAATACCAAAATAGCCCCTTTTGCCAAGAGATGATGTCCGACAAGTGAGAAAATTAGCAAAAAGATGAAGCAGGGCAGGTGGTGGTGCCATCTTGGAGTTCTCGTGTTAATAGCTGCGACAGCATCTCCACATGATCATGTGGTTCTTATTTGGTGAAAAAAGAAGCACACTGTTCTCAGACTATGGAACTTGTGAAAAATTTCGTTGTGCCAGTACGAAAAGAAGAGTGAGAGAATATAAAGAAAGACACTTTGAAACCTGCGATGCCCCCCTGACATTCAAGAGATGAGATTTTGATGCAAAATATAACTAAGCTTTAGAACATGCATTTTCTCTTTCATTAATAAACCTGCCATATTTAAAGGGGTCATGAAAAGGTCACTTTACAACAATGCGGCATCATCGGCAGCCACACGCACTAACTAAAACATAGGCCTGAGTAGACCTGCATAGACGCTTGACCTATTGAGGAACGCGGAACTCCACGGCATCTGCGAGCACGTCCAAGACACGCTCACTGGCATTTTTGTCACACATGATTCACTTCCTACAAGAACGCTGCTCAATATTACGTCAGCTGCAGAGTTCAAGTTAGTGTGGATTGCCTATGGAAAACACACCGATGAGTGTCTCAAGTACAGTGAAGTTCCACTTATCTCGATAGGCAAAGCCTCCACGCAGGTCTACTCTACTGCCAGTGACGTCACCCAGTTAATGCGTGTGGATGCCGGTGATTCTGCATCGTCAATTCAGGAGCGGCCTCTTCATAACCCTTTTAAACTGACGACAGTAGAGTTTTTGTAAACTGAGTGTTTCACTTAAGCATTCCTTTAGAAGTATCCACTGGCTGTGTACTTAAAGAATGTGCCAGTGTTAAACACTCTTAGTGATCTTTACAGGTAGTTTCACTGCAGGCTGATGCGTAGTGATAACTTAGAAGGAGAATGCTAAGCAGTATTATATAAAGCACAGCATAATTGGATAAAGACGTGCACTAATGAACTATGTAGAAATTTTGTGAGCCTTGGAAGATATACTTGTTTAGCAAGCATACATATAAAAACATTGAGAGAGAATAAAGGATAACTTTTTACTACACAAGTGCAACAAACATTTGCTGAATTTTCTCTCCTTCAGTTTTATAATTTGACTCGGGTCCTGTCAAATTCAAGTTCATAGAGTTTACTGCATAGTATTATGCACACACTTTAAAAGTATTTGTGCACTTTCCCTATCCTCTTTTTCTGCACTCAAATTTTGTGATAATGAAAGAACATTTAACAAAATATGTTTTTGCTACATTCTGTATTCACTAATGAAAATATGTTTTGTTACATTCTATATATTTACTGGAGCATTATTCACACACCCTAGCGAGTAATATTTTAGATTTTCTTCAGTATACCCTATACATTCGCCATCCAATAACTTGGATAAGCTCATCTGTGGACCGCTTTGCGGTATGGCGCATTGAACTTGGCCTAGTGTATAGGAATGACAGAAATTTCCAACAAACTACAGCACACCCTTCAGTAGCTGCACAACTACAGAATAATTATTATTTCAGCTTCAAAATGTTATTTGGCATTGCCACTGCATAGTCCTCAACCAACCATGTTAAGGACTATGCCATCTTCTTAATATGACTTATCAAACTGAAGTATACTAAGTCCTGACTGAGCTGTGGGAGGCAGTCCAGTACTGACTGAGCTATTCGAGACAGATTGCCATAGTAGCAGATCTCTCTTACTTTTCTTTTGTTTTTTGTTTTGCTTTGTCATATAGAGTAGACCTTGCCTAGTATGCTTTTCATAAAATTGCAAAAAAAAAAAAGCACAGTAACTGGGAACAGTATATAGCGAAAATGCAGTGAAAGTCATGAAAAGTTATATTAACAAAAAAAAAAAAGAGTTATTGCATGCTACTGTACCTCAAAACAACTCATTAGTTTACGACTTAATGTTGGTAAAATTTTGGTGTTTCTTTTGCACCTTTGCCAGAACCAGACACTTTTTGAGCACTTGGAAAAGTTTGCGGCAGCCTACATCATGAACTTGTTGAGCTTAGCAGCGCGGCACACGACCCACAAAGCTACTACAGTAGGTGTTGATGTGTAGTGGATACATATGAAGCATGGTCAAGTCGTTCCCATAACAATTTATTTCTCCTTTCTTCCAAGCCATTTTAAACTTGGCCCCCACAATTTTATATTAGCACAGAAACGTAGTTTTCGAGCAAAATAAAACGAACTCTCTCCAAGAGGGATTTATGCGCAGCAAACCAACACACCTGGGTTACGAAATTGCGTACTGTTCTATACCAACAGAAGAATCGGCAAGCAGATGCCCCACAACTGAGGTCAAACGCCCGAATAGAGAGAGAAAAAGTAGACGTATAGCAGAAAGACCGGGTACAACAACAGTGGCCTTTTGTTCTGCAGTTCCTGTACACACAGCAGTGAGCCAGCACTGTATGTTGCCCACAGAACACCAAGCAGCTGTAAAAGAAAGAAAGAGACAAGACGTCCATCAACAACAACAATGAAATCCCATCTGTGCATATCTAATAACAACAATAATTATTGGGGTTTTCAGCTCCAAAGCTATGATAAGATTGCGAGGACGCTGTAGTGGAGGGCTCTATATATATGAGCCATCTATAGTCAGCTTGTGCGAATATTCGGGCACTTCGTATATTCAAACAAACATTATGGTATTCAAGTAAGTGTGTGAGGGTGGCAATTCGGGCTTTTTGGTATGGTAGCATAATGACTGATGGTAGGGCATGCTAAGGACACCGACACAAGAAGGCGCACTCAAGACATCACAGCGCTACACTACAGCGGTGTCTCGTATGTGCCTTCTTCTGCTGTATCCTTAGCGTGCGCTACTATCAATTATCGCGAATAGACGTATATTAGTCCTCATGTAACTCCCCCCTCCCCTTCCTGTAGAAGTGGTTTCACTTGAGTGATAGGGTGCTGCACTGTAATAGATCTATTAAGAAAATTCCGCACTGCCACAAAGCCACACTTCATAATTTTGGGTCATTAAACCCCAACAATTATTATTAGGACTTACATTGAAGGTAATTGAAGCGGACAAGAAAGCGCATTCCTTGAATGGTGGAGCAACAGACAAGTAATTTTAAGGTCGTGAGGATGAATCCCTCCAACGAAAAGTGCACTTTTACATACAATTTGATTCCTTTCAGTTTAGATCATAATCCCTACATAATAATAATGAACCCTAGCTCTCCATGTCTTATTTGACTATTGGTTTCATTGGTTGTGTCACTGGTTGTGTCAAACAAAGAAATGAGAACTTAGAACAATTATTTTTAATTTTTACTGTCTGTGTACAGAAAGATTATGTAGGGAGATTGAGCTTAAACACTTTCCTTTAAAATCTTGATCAATAATGATAAAACTTGCCAAGTTTTTCAAACATACAATGAACTATTTACAATGAACTACAATATGTAGCTTTTCTAAATTTAGCACCATTCACAAAATGAATTCATTTGTGCAAACTTGATGTTAGTTGCTATTGAGATAATAAAATTTCAATTCTCCATGATACGTATAACTGACACGGTTCCCAACTAGACAGACCATTCATAAATATTAACACACATAGTAAATGGTTAATTGTTTGCAATGAACAGTTCTAAACTTCACATATATTGCTTTTCTGCTTCCTTTGAAGATCAGAGGATAAACCTGTTTTCATGTTTCAGGAATTTAAACTATGTAGCGCTGGCCAAAATGTGAAAAGCATTTCGAAATTAGTGATGTTATATTGGCACTTGAGATCAAAACAAAACAAAAATTGAGCTTGAAGAGGGCGTTTGCGGGATAATCATTTATCAAATACAGAAATCCGAAAGAATTTCACATCCCCCTTGAAAGTAACATTAGAGAACCACTCACTGCAATATCGAAAATGCTAAGTCACAGTGCATTCACACTTAAGAAGCGAAGTGAAAGTGAAAAAGGCAGAGCAAAGAGAAAATCAAATTTGCGCACGTTGCACACATTCATATTTGTACAGCTCCCTATGCGTGCTCCTACTGCTACCACCTTCGACGCTTCAAGAATTCATTTCATTTTGCCTGTTTCCTGAGCATTAAATTCCGTACCGAATTCAAGATATGCAAGCAACACACTGAAAAGAAATGACTTTCACCCTTTTGATCTGCTGTTTTGGGAGACACAACAGCTGAAACAGCCCAAGCAGACACACTGGCAGTGATGGCTGCTGATTCACCTGGCAGTGCAAAAGAGGGATACGTTGGAGCGCGCCACCACGCTGTTGCTTCTGCGCCTTCTGCGAAATAGTCTTCTCAGCAATTTTAATATGAAACCAGGCTTCTGAGGAACTATGTTCTTGCAGAGGCATGTGAGCTTTGTCGAGCTGCACGAGTAGTCTGCAATCGCGCTGTTGCAAACCACTGCCGACTTCTCGGCCGCCATGCTGAAATTGCGGCCGGTTGTTTACGTCCCACAGTATGAAAACTTACACAGCCAAAGTGTGGCTTACCGTGAAGCAGAAGGTGCTCCACTTTTGCATTGTGAAAAAATCTGTCGGACTGTTTTTTTTTATTGTGTCGAGCTCGCGACATGGCATTACGGCCGCTTAAGTCACTGACTTTCTGACAAGCTTTGCCACTTTCGCTCCCTTCAAGGCCAGGTGTAAATGTGGCTTAGGGGGTTATGGCTCCCACTCATATATATTTTCAATAAGCGAAGAACCATTTTGCCAAAACATGACTTCACCTTGAAGGTCAACTCCACATAGTGGAACGGTCTGACCAGAGGCAGAGTGGTCGCAGTAACCACGAGGGGCAGGACAGAGTAGCCAATCACACCTAGGCACTGGGAGTAGCTAACCTGGAAAGAGGATTTAGAAGAACAGAACATTTGGACAAGTTTGCAAGGGTCCACAATAGTGCTTAGAAGTGAAAAAAAAAAAACACCACACAAGACAGGACAAGCAGTTGCTACATGCCAAAGCTTATTTTTGGGAATCCAGTCAGGTTTTGCCATACACCAAAAGTAAAAGCTACAACAAAACCTATATGTGGGCAAGAACTTGACAAATGAAAACAACTGTTGCCTAAAACAAAAAATCACACACACACTGCACACACAAACTATTTTTGTGCATGAGGGTCAATAATGTTTTGTTGAGGTTTTTATCTGTGAGACAACAGTTGCATTCGCCATAAAGGTACTATTATTCTTTTTCCAGCGTGTAGTTTTTGAAATGCTACTGTTGTGCCACTGCCTTTGAAACCCTTGAAACTTAGTTGTAAACAGATTGTTTTTTTTTTTTTGTAAAATGCTGCAAAATAATATTACGGGGAAGATTTATTCGGTGACAGCAGAATATTGATGTTATGCTTAGAATGTTTTGCTTCCCTGATGTGACGGATAACATATCTCACCTCTCCACCCAGAACTCGAGCCAGAAGAAAAATGACTAGTGATCCAAAGATCCACATGGTGACAATCCATGAGACCACCTGCAAGTGAAACCCTATTGTCACATCGTCTCATTCGAGAATGTTCAACATACAGTGACTTTTCTTCAAACAGGTTTAGAGCATTTACACTTGTTTTCCTGGATCCAGTTCTCATCCCAGGTCATTCTTGCATTTTTATTTAGTTCGCAACACTCTCAGTTTGGGAAAACTATTGCTCCTACAGGGCACTTGAAATGTTGGATACATTGAATACTACATACACACTGCAATAAAATATTAACTGAATATCTGAAATAAGCACACCAACATACCCAGACTTAGCAAGTTTCATCGAAGGCCATCACGAATTTGAAAAAAAAAAAATGAACAGAATTCACAGACATAACGAAGGTAATGGGCTCTTTTCTTGCTCTTGTTGAGTTCCAAGCAAAGCGAACAGTATCAGCATGTGACTGCAGTTTTTCTACATGTCAAGCTAGGAAAGAACTTCTAGAATTTGCAAAAGCTCAAGACTTCAAACAGACAGTGTGTGTATGTGGTCTGCAAGAAAAGTGGAAGAATTTTTCTGTTTCACTGGGAAATGTGGGTTATTATATCCAATAGCCCAAAATTTTTGCATTCTTAAATAAGGTGTCAAATATGTCTCTCTATGAATCTCAAGAAGAATTACAATGAATTCTTTTTTTTTATCCACTACTATCACTTCCAACAAATCTATGTTTTTTTACAGTACTAAGTTATCTTACTATCAGGGCACACTAAGAATGGCGACCACACTAAGAGAGAGAGAATAAAATGAGGGAAAGGCAGGAAGGTTAACCAGAAATTCGAGCATCTGGTTTACTACCCTGCACTCAGGGAAGGGAGAATGGGGAATAAAGATGGAAAAGAAAGCGAAGAGCGCAATAGACGCGCCAAAGAGAAAAGGAAAAAAAAAAGTGAGCTGGGGTTCTACAGCCTATTCAATAGGCCACTATCACGTAAATAGTTCAATAAGGCCTTCAATGATTTTCCGTGGGAAGACATTATGTCGCCTTTCAAGCAATGACTGTTCTGACAAGGGTCTGTCATCAAGACGAGCTAACGCAGCAGCTAGCTGCCGTCTTTCCACGCTGTAACGAGGGCAGTGACAGAAAACGTGCTCTATCGTTTCATCACTGCGATTGACTTTCAAAAGAAGATTGATTGAGGTATCAGACAATTATTCTTATATAATTTCTGAAAGTGATTTATCCTTTTATGTTATTACTCTGAGGGTTAAGATTTTATCACCCAAAGAATAGCTAAGCTATTTGTCAAATTAACTATTGCCAATCTACATTTGTTCAAATTACTTGTGCAATATTTATTTAGGTGGTACATATGCTGGTATAATATATAGCACAGTACAAAGTACAGTATAGTATATAAAAAAATATGATGGTTGCAGGCTCGAACACACAACCCTAGTTTACAGATTTTTTGTTACCAGTTTTTAGTATAGTAATATAGTACACTTTAGTCACAATGCCTAAAGGCAGATTTGTTCTAGTTTTCCTCTATCTGCATCTACATAGTGGTATAGAGATTTCATTTGATGATTTCATATTCCTGGTATAGTGTGTTATCCTGTATAAAGTTTTTGCATCGCTCCAGAATCTTTTTATTTTGTAAAATCATGCCCATCACACACACATGCACACACACGTGCACACGCACACACATGTGCACACACACACGCACCACACAGACGTACACGCTGTTGTTCATGCAACTCAAACATAATCTCCAAGGCCAAAACTCACCGAGAACTGCCCATAGATGGAGACAAGCGAGAAGAGAATGACCACCAGCAGAGGTCCCCAGAAGTCGGGGCTGTCCCTGACCAGTTGCCGCTTGTAGCCCATGAAAGGAAAGGGCAGCAACACACAGCACACCTTGTAGTAGATGTCCTTCAGGTCAATGTCCAACTCTTCCCTAGAAGGAAGGAACTAACTTCAACTGACGTACCATTCCTCACCACATTTTAGAGCAAGTATGCAGGCTAGTGGGCCATCTGTGATCATCTAATAACAGCTCACAAAAACGAGGCTGGTAAAAAGAAGCAAGGAAATTAAGTTTACAGGCTAAATTAACTTAAGCACATACTTAGTAAGCTGATGTGGAACGCTGTCGTGAGTTACGGCCGACAGCAAAAAGCTAAATGGTAGCTTCTTTGAACTTAAACGACAACAAATTACAGGTTGTTCACTTCACGAGACTCGTGATAGCCATCACGGAAACATCACCTTTAAAAGCAATATGTGTGATGCTGAAGACACCAAATACCCGTCGACACTTTTAAAAAATGTCTGTGCATCCATTTTATAAAGTGTGACTGGTAGGAATGAGTGTGCATGTCTCTGCTAGCCATGGTGCCATCAAACATGAATGGACAAGTGAAATCAAGCTCACGATGAACAAGCTGGTTGCTGTCAGTGCTTTCATGATTAATCATGTGACCTACCTGACAATAAATGACTGACTTGCAATAAACGACTGACTTACGTCACTGAAAAGTTCTCCGCACCTGCTGGTGGGAACTTAAAATTGGGAACTATGTGATATAAATGTTAAAGATGTGACAGTGACATGACCATGAATATTACTGCCGCTATTACCATCACCAAGTGCTGTGATGCACCCCAGAAAATGGAATCATCTCACAAGAATCGGAGCCCATGCTCAATTAAATTAGATCAAACATGTGAAGCGCCTGTCATGTGGTGTACAGCTCAGCAGAGAAAATAGTTCAAATCATGTGTAGTAAAATTTTTTTTTTATAAAGAGGAAGTATAAGAAGAGGAAATATATTTACAAAGAGTAATTATATCAGACTTTCCTCAGCAAATCTTTCACTTTCACGGAGAAAAATCAAGTCAAGTGTTTCAAAAACCTATCATGCACTGAGAAGGAAATGCTACTGAAACGACTTACAACACGAGTGTTGAAGATTGGGCGAGTTGGTTCGTCATACTTGAACTGGTATAGCGCATTACGGGGAAAAAGAAACGGCCGAGCAGACCGACACAAGAGGACAGTGCGCTAAAGAAGGTAGGAGGGAGCCCGATGTACAAGAAATGAAGTCCACGAGTGTTGAAGATTGGGCGAGTTGGTTCGTCGTACTTGAACTGGTATAGCGCATTATGGGGAAGAAGAAACGGCCGAGCAGACCGACACAAGAGGACAGAGCGTTAGCGCTCTGTCCTCCTGTGTCGGTCTGCTCGGCCGTTTCTTCTTCCCCGTAATGCGCTATACCAGTTCAAGGACTTACAACACACCACACTGTACAGTTAAGTTCATTGCAGACACACTGGCTACTTAATAAGCATAACTAATACACAAGAAGCCAATCACTGAGCTAGCACTGAGAGGGAAAGTACAGGAATTCAGAGTCTCGCTTCAGAAGAGGTACTCGGCTCTTGTCGAAGAAACCAGCTTAAAAAAAGACTTGCTGCTATAGGTGCACAACTGCATTGTGAAGCTAAGAACAACTAAAGCAGAATGCCAAACAAGTGTTGGATAATAAATGCGGCCTAGAAAGAAGAACGGGTCAGATACTCACAAAAGAGGAGCTTTGTCATCGTCCTCTGCATCGTCCACCTCGAGCAACCATCCGAGGCCTTTCTGATGCAGAAACGATGAACCAGGTATGGACGATGCAAACGTGGTTTCTCCTTTGCCACTGTGTGCAGAGGACCAAGGGTCCATTGTGCCAGTCAGGCGACTGTAGTCTGTTAAAGTGTGTGATTCCACTGTGAACTTGCACCACACGATGCAACTTTTACAAGTGAATGGTAAGAAACTTTGGCATAACAATTATTACAAAGTTGACGTATGTACTCAATACTTTTATCAAAATCAGAGGATACAGCTTGTAGCAAACATTAACCAGGCAGCATAAGCGGAGACAATAACAAGGACACAATATCGATCATAGCTGCGACAACCACGAACCATCTTTAGCTTCCGAGACTTATAATCCCCTTAAAATAGCAGCTTTGCTTACGAATACATATCATGTCCACCAGATTCCCAATACTCTTAAGTTTGTTTCAACATAAATTTATCTAACAGTGACAAAATACCATGATGAATACCGAGTGATTTTTATGGATCATCTTTTCAGAGCCCTTTCAGTAGATACAGTTAAATGTTGTCAATGATAAGCAGTCATGATGCCTGGTGGCAGTGAACAATACTAGTACACCAATCCTATTCTCTCCTAGTAGCTGGAAAAGAGAGTCATGTTGGGCCAGTTGATTAACCACAATTCATTGAGAAACAAACTGATGACATTAAGGGAACCAAAACGCTTGCTAATGATTGCGTGTATCCGGTAAGAAATTTTCATGCGAGCATGAATTCTGGAAAAGATACCCGATTTCAATCAACATTCAACGCAAACATGCCTCGGTTCACTAATTTTCCTTTGTACCCTCACGCTGATTTACATCGCCAGTTTATTGTACCTGTTTTATACTGCCAGAAAATAAGCATTCAGTTGGTTTTGCCCCTTGTGATTGTACTCAGATCAGCTTTATTTGTTCACATTTTCTAATATAGCTAAGAAACTTGAGTGACAATGAGGATGCTGACATGGCAGCCAGTGATAGGACTGCCCAGTGCACTACTAGATGTAGTTGTGTCCCACACAAAATGAATACGTCATTGAAATCTTGTGAAGGCACAAAAGTTCCTTTCAACCATAGATCGGCAAACTGACTCGTGAGCGAACTCACTCAGACTTCAGTCGAGCCACTATTCTTAGTCTGGGGCAATATTTCGGTTAATTTGAGTACAAGAGAGTCCAGCTGAAAATTTTCGACTAAGAATATTTGGCGTGTCCAAAGCGCAAGATATATTTTTTGAGAGAGTGCGAAGCGAGTTCCACTTTTTTTTTTGCCAACCTATGGTTTCAACACAGCACATTAAGGCTGTTCTTTCCATGCCAATGCATATTTTTGCAAACGATTGACCACTACCACGTGCCTACACTCACCACCTCATGTGCAGTTACGGGGTTATGACCAATGTTCAACCTCCCATGCAGAAACTATAAGGAGTACTGGACTCTGCGAAGAAAGACACGCATAAAACATGATGTGCTGGGTATGGGTCTTTCCTCAGTATCCAGTACGTTTCATAGATTGTGCAAAGAGAGTTGATCATGTTTTTAACTAGCCTATTGTCAGGTTCTTTTTATGACCAATGAAGGTGTTCATGCGAAAAGACTGAGCACGCAGAAACGAACAAAAGTGAGATGTCAAGACACCACAACCACCATAAGCGGTGACTTTTCTCTTGCACAACGTCTGTGGTGTCTTTCACTCTCTCTTGTGTCCGTGTTTAGACTACCAGTCTTTCAACATGAATATGGACCAACTAGCTGAGCTCTATGTGATTCTAAGACCAATGAAGATATCAGTAAATGACAAGCCCCACGCGCTTCCACGAGTGACGTCATGGTTCAAAGTACGCAGGTCTGCACGCGTTTCACTTTACATAGGGCTTCATCAGCCAAGGAAGGAGATGAACGCTTTACAACCTATCCACGCATACTATGCGCGAACTACAGCGCGATACTAAACATGTGACAAGGGCGCAAAATGACATACCCGGACTCGCGGTCGCCATGAAGACGAACTCTTCCAAGGCCTTGGCCGGCGGTGCTTGCGGCGGAATGGTCGGTAGAGCCGTCGCCACTTTCGCTGTAGCCGCGGCAGCGGCTTGTGCGACGGGAGAGTCGGCAGTCAAAGCCGTTCGGTTCGTCAGTGTCCATGGAGATTTTGACGTAGCTGCCAGAGCCCGTGGAACTGGAGTCCGAGCTCTGTCCATTGTCACTGTTGCTGCCGTGAACGGGAATGTCCATCATGCCCGGCACCAACGTAAGACGCGTGTAAACGAAACAATCTTGCTAAACGAGTGTCGTGCGGTCCCTACGGCACAGCTGCAAAAAGATCACCTTAATCGTGGCTCGTTCATGATGCGCGATGCGTCCACTGCCACGAAGCGGTTTCGGTATCTTTCCCGACGTGACTTGTGAACAGTGCTCCTGTTACGATTTCATGGTGGGCATGTCCTTACGTAACGTTTACGTCGAGAGGACTCAGGACGCTATAGAGCAACATGCGCGTTAGTAAACATCCGATATTGGGTTACACGCCTTCAATGCTGATGAGTGTACTAGAACCACAGAACACCTACCAGTTTCGCATGCGCAACAAAAACAAACCAAGAAAAAAAACGTCATTTTTGTTGCCAGGCGCTACTGCGTAATATAAATCTACTGCCAAGTTTAGCGAAATGCAAAAAAATTTTTATTCGTTATTTACAAAAAATTAATTAATAAAAAAGAATAATAGTTGAAGGTAACGTTTGATTTGTTTGTTGTATTTATTTATTGTAGTTAAGTTTGTTTAACTTTATTTATGACGTCACATAATACGTCACAAAAAGTTGCGGGAAAAAGAATGCGCGAAATTGGTCAAGTGATTTAGCGCGCTTTCCTGACAGTAGTGGCCGAAAAAGTTGCTATGTGCTGCGAGGACGATTTGAGCAAACGGGTTTAGAGTAATTGAATCACTTTTACGCATTTACGAAGCAACGAACTTAGGTATCGTCGAAAACGATGGGAATTCAAGGCTTGTTACCGTTCGTCCAAAAGGCGACGAGGCCAGCAAATGTGAAAGAGTTCAGCGGGCACATTGCAGCCGTGGACACCTACTGCTGGCTACACAAAGGCGCATTTTCGTGCGCCGAACGGCTTGTGAAGGGCGAAAAGACCGATGCGTGAGTAACTGGTTCAAACTGTGATATTCGCTGTCGTGCCCTTGGCGTTTGCTGGCTACAGACGCCGGCAATGAGCTCAGACGCTCGCCGCGCGCTAGCATGCAATAATTGCTCAGACCGCCCACGCTGTCCAGGTTCGTTTTTCTTGTTACGGCGCGCGCTATTTAGGCTAATTTCTGAGTGAAGTGTGTGGGTGTCATTATCGTTGCTTGTGTATCTCCGCTTAGGTATGTGAGCTACTGCATGAAGATGGCAGACTTGCTGTTAGAGTGCGGCGTGCGGCCGATCTTGGTTTTCGACGGACGGCATTTGCCATCGAAGAAGGGGACGGAAAAAAAGCGAAGGGAGTAAGTCTTTTCACTTTCTTTCGTTTCCTTGTTGTGTCGTCATTCGTTTTCCTGGTGTCCCACTGCCTCCGCTCGGATCTGATTACTGGCTCACAGTACTACTTTTTCAGACAGCGGGAAATCAACAGACAGAAAGCGAAGCAGTTTCTCATTGAAGGAAAGATTCAGCAGGCACGGGAATGCTACCAGAGAGCTGTTGACGTCACATCCACCATGGCTCATGAAGTCATTGTGGTGAGTTAGGGGGAATGACAGCACTTCCAATGTATTTTTTTTTTTCATCAAGTTTAGTAATTGGTATGGAGATGTGCCTCTAGGCATTGGTGCATCCATGTCAAATGCCAGCCAAGTTACAATAGGTATAGTGAATGAGAGAACAAGGGAATCGATCTAGGGCTCGTTTCCCGAGTTAGACACACAACCTAACAAAAACCAAGACCAAGCTATGTAACACATAGAGGGAATCACTTGTATCTTTTAACCGTAATTTCGTAGTTATGACATGAATGGAAAGGCATGACAGTGGAAGGAAAATGCATTTTCCAAAACCTTTGATTATTGCATTGCCAGCTGGCAAGAAGACAGTGTTCCACACTCTGTCATGTATGCGAGTGACACTGGCTAGCGCTTGCAGGATGATGTAAACATAAATAGTGCCACTTGGCCGCTAGTTACGCCGAGCGCAAGCGATGGCTGCCCGCGAGAATGGAAGACGATGTTCTGGGGCAGCGCGTGCTCTGGCCAGTTGTTTATTATTGAAGCAGCCATCTTGCCAGTTTTCGGTGCGTCTCCCTGCCGGCTCAGTTCTTCCTAGTTGAAGACCTTTTGTAGCACGTGACAACTGGTGGAGCTGCTGGGTAACCCCCAGTCAATGTTCTAAACGCCTCCGGGTATCCCTGTACCTGCAGTGACAACACCTGTCCACCGCTCAAGCCGAAGACTCCGAGGACTACCTCCTGAGCGTGGACCTCTTCCTGAGATGAGGTCTGTCACACCCCCGAACGCTATGGAAGGCGCTGCAGCCTCCAACGCACAGGAAGGTGGTGCGACCACGCATAATACGCTGTGGAAGCCACGTGTGCCGAAGGTGTTCCACGGTTCCGTCTTGGAGGATGTCGAAGACTGGCTGGCCCAGTTCGAATGGGTTTCGGATTACAATGGTTGGACCGACTTCGACAAAATGAGGAACGTGTATTTCAGCTTGGAGGACGGCGCTCGTACTTGGTACGAAAACCGTGAGCCTTTTCCCTCGTGGAGCGTCTTTCGTCGATACCTGCTGGCAAGTTGGGCCAATCCCGATCGCCGCGAACGAGCCAAGCGAGAGATTCAGTGGCGCCTCCAAATGCCGAATGAAAGCGTCATGATGTACGTCGAGGACATGACGAGCCTCTTTCGTCGAGCTGACCCCGACATGGCCGAAGAAAAGAAGGTCCGTCATTTAATGCGAGGAGTGAAGGAGCAGCTTTTCGCTGGCCTCGTTCGCTGTCCCCCAAAGACCGTGGCGGAATTTTTGACCGAAGCCACAACCATGGAGCAAGGGCTGCAGCAGCGCTCTACTGTGTACGACCGGCAAGTGAGTGTCGCTTCGTCAATAGGTCAGATCGGAGGTGCGGCAGGCAACATCAACATCGAGTCTCTTTGCGATCTCATTCGATCGGTGGTGCGCGACGAACTACAAAAGATTCAGTGCCAGTCCCAACCTACTGCAGGGTCTATTTGCAGCCTTGTCAGAAACGAAGTACGACAGGCTCTCCAAGTTCCGCTTTCCAGCTATGTCCCACCTGTCCCGGCGGAGCCACATCGTGCATCATAAGCAGAAGCTGTAAGCCGATATATTCCTACAATAAAGCGTTAAAGCGTTAAGCAATAAAGCGTTATGCTCATCTTATCCGCCACTGTGCTCGCCTCCCAACTCGAAGTTTGGGGGTTCGATCTTGTCCATGGCAGTTTCATTTCGATCAAGGCAAAATGGTAGAGGCCCGTGTACTGTGCGATGTCAGTGTGCATTAAAGCACACCAGATGGTCGAAATTTTCAGATCCCTCCACTAGAGCTTTTCATAATCGTTTTGAGAAGTAAAACCCCGGATATTATTACTAGCACGCATTAGCACGAAGGTTGCAGGTATGGCCCCTACCTGCAGCAAGTCGATCTTTTTTTTTCACAACTCCTTTCAATTTATCTCACCATTACTACCCTACTGTTAAAACATACAAGGAGTGTCCCTGATACCTTCCTTTGCTTTATTTTCGGTTTCACTAAATAGATTGTGCAAATTTAGGCTGTTATTTCCTGACATATGTCACACTTGGATTATGCCAATTCCTATGAAAGAGAGCTGAACTGTAATTTATTTCTGAACAACAAGCATTTCATTTCAGGAGTGCAGAAGGAGAGGCATTGACTACATCGTAGCGCCATACGAAGCAGATGCCCAACTCGCTTACCTGGCACAATGCAAGCTGGCTGATATCGTCATCACAGAAGATTCTGACCTCATCCTCTTTGGATGCGAAAAGGCAAGGAAGTACAACGGCAGGGGCTGCAGTTTTTACGAAAAGAATTTCCGCCCCGCAAGAATCGTGTTCGATTGTCTTGTTTCTCAGCAATGGTTCTTCCCCACTACAGGGAATTTGCCAAGAAGCTATTCCCTGCGACGCAATATCCCCAATATGTTATTTCTATAGAGCTCTCTTTCACCTGGCATCTTTTATTTAGGGGATAATTCTTTTTGTTTAGGTGTGTCGTATTTATTACGTCATTTTCATAGTGGCTGTATGTAGCCTACCTCAGCATACATTCCTTTTCTCAAGTTTTGTTTAATGTCTTTTGCATTTCCTCCTTTGTTATTATTTCATATTTAAACTTTCTGTCTTCTGTGTTGGCACATGCTACTAACATCTAGGCTGCACACATACTATGGTCTGGGCTTGTTGGTGTTGCATGACACAAGGCAGATGTGATGAAAAGGAGGACAGTGAAGAGTCTTGGCACACATGAGCGCTTGTGTGTGTCAAGCCCCTACACTATTCTCATCTTCTGCACATTTCCCCTGCGTCATGTCACATCTACATAAAGAGCTTCTACACATCAGGCTCTTTCGGCTTGGAGGTGCTAAATGTTAAGCAGTAATGACACCTTGAATGATAATTGACGTATGAGAACATGATGATTATGGGCTCGTCGGTTTATTGGAATCTGGCTACAGGATTGGTTGAGTCCCGGAATGCATGCACAAATGAAAATGGAGTGAGGGTGCTTTTCACAAAGGCCACCCCTTAGCCCTTGGCTTTCCAAAAACATGGGAAGCAAAAATTTTTTTAATGTAACATCAGCGGTCCTCGCTCACCATTATTGCCAAAAAGCTGGCGCAGCCAGAACCACATGCAATACAATATTACATGAAAAGTCCATTTAGAGCAGATTATAGACGACTGGGCAGGGGTGCAGACTCCTCCCCTGCGTGCACCACCCCCATGTGCACACTTACGTCACCACATAATCAAGTGACGGCGTTCCCTGGATGTCAACTTACATTCCACATGATATATGCTACTATTGCATAAAACTGAAGAGACTGGAACATTCTCTTTAGTTTCTATGAACTTTTATGTCTTCTTGTAAATTTGTATGTTTCATTTTATCCAGGTTTTGTTTAAGATGGACCGAGCCGGGTTTGGCCAGTTGTATGAGAAATCGAGACTGGGTGAATGTTTTGGACAGCTGGCGGACCGCTTTACCCACGACAAGTTTCGGCAGATGTGCATCCTTTCTGGTTGCGACTATCTCCCTTCCCTGCCTGGCATCGGCTTAGGAAAAGCCAGCAAGTTTTTCAAGCTCATCACCAATCCCAATATCCGAGCTGTGAGTTCTCTGAAAACACGGCTGATAGCAATTTAATTCACATCTGACAGAGTATGGCACATTTAAGCAGCTTCTTCTATTCAAGCTAGTAGAAGTCAAGATCTAAATACTGTGTAGATGTGTCTCTCGAGCTTTTAGATTTGTGCTATTCGAGAGCACAATTATTCTGTTGTGTTGGGTTTAAAAGTCAGCATCGATCTCCCAATGACCACACTTGCAGTAAAGCTGCAAGCCTGGCCATCTACAGTTTTCATTACCAGTCTTTAATTGTCATCCAGGCAGGTGATGCACGATTCTCTATTCTTTTTCAGATGCACCTTCCCACATTTTCATGCTTCTACATTTTTTTTTTCGGAAGTGGCAAACAGATAAAAGGCTTAAAAAATGTTCTCCCTTTGTCCAGTACACTTAGCATCACATTTTAATTGCACCAGGTCTTCAAAATTTTGATAAGCAAGACTTATTCCCTGTCACCATGCATTGAACTTGGTGTTCTTGTGCAAAAGATTAGTCTTAACTGAAAAGTGTATTTGAGCACAGAAGCAAGACATTTCTTGGTTCTCTTTTCATACTGAGATCAATGGCTTGTTGTTGTCCAGACATTGCCCAAGCTTCCATCGTACCTCAAAATGCCGGCCCTCTGCGTGGATGAGCAGTACGTTGAAGACTTCCTCAAAGCTGAGAACACGTTCCGCCATCAACTTGTGTTCTGTCCCATCCGGAATGAACTGGTACCACTGAGTCCCTACGACCCCAATGTTGACCCCACAGACATGACCTATGCTGGACAGTATCCTTTTCTGAAATGCTCTGTCAAGTTTGTTCTTAGCCTTTGGGTAATGCACAGCCTTTTTTAATTTAGAACAACTGAAGTTTATTGCTACTTTGCTACTGCAAAACTGTTTTTCTAAGAAAGAAATTATTTCTTCTTGATATATATTGATATAATGTACCAATCATGCCATCAAGGTTGATATGTTGCATTGATAAGCTTGCCTCCTTTATCTCAGCAGCTTGCAGTATATGCACAGCCTATAAAGAATTTTGCTTTGCACAAGGAAGCAATTACTGCAATTGAAATATAACTGCATCAGATTTCAACATGTTCTAAACAGCTGCTTTAGAGAATTCTATACTAGTCAAGCTTTTTGCCTTGTACGAAAGTGAACTTGGCAGTCATTGTGTCTGTTACTATATTTTGAGAGCACCACGCAGCCTGAAGTTGTGCAAACAACACGTTCCTTGGTGGATGTTTGAATTCCTCTTGCTTGCTTGAAGAGCAGCACTGCTTGCAACTTCTGGACGATGCTGTCACCTATTCATTTCTCAAGAAAGAGCATTTTCAACTCCTAAGATTATCTGATCTCTACTGGTAAATATTTTGAATGCTGGTTTCACATGTGGCTTCTCGAGGAGTGCCTTTGAGTTGACCTACGGCAGAGATGGCTTTCAAATATAATGCTTGACTCGTGCTAAAGACAACTTCCTAGGGAGCAGGCTTTTGACATAGCAGTAGGGAATATCGATGTCAATACTGGGCAGAAGATTGACAACTACTACCCAAAGGATGGGAAGGTAAAAATCTCTTTTGCTTGCGTTGTAGTGAGTACTAATAATGCTAGTGGTAATGTTACTGAGAATTTTAGCTGATGTGGAACCTTCATCTGTATCATCATTCTACCTGCATTCGCTAGGAGTGTACATCATTACTTTGTAAACTACAGCTCTGCCTCATGGCACTTTTTGTTGTTTCGAAATAATTATTTGTTTAGGAAGACCTCACAGGCTCATGAAAAGACAGAGTGAGGGCACTGTATGGTACGATTCAAAGCATAATGGTATAAGCGATGCATACAAGAATGTGAAAATTATCACAAAACTAAGTAAATTGCATATTATCAAGTCAAACAAATGCTAGAAAAAAATATTAATAAGCATACAAAATACTGAGAATTTGCAGTGTATACCAGTAACAAGCATTGCATAACTATAAAAAGTGTCGGCTGTTAAGCAGGGGGGCAACAACTGTGCCAATTGCGCCAATTTGATACAATTCGCCATTTTTGGGCCACGCTGCGCCAAAGTGGTCGAACAGCCTCAAAATTTTCTCTGTTGTGCCAATTTCAGTGAGGAACGAAGGCCACGTTGGACACCTGTAGTTTGCGTCCTCAATCAATTCGGGGATCTATGTGTGCCAACCTTTACCCTAAAGCACGGCAGGACACTCGCGAAACACTATTGACCAGATTAAGTGAGAAAGCCCTGCGTTCATCGGTATGCTGACTGCAGGGGATACAACGCAACCTCAAGACAAAAATGTGTTGCCATAGCCAGCAACACTTCACAGCAAATGTGAATATTCTCATCAGCAAATGCGGTTATGGCATGTTAGGAACTAAAGCTGGAAGTGTATGCCGCTGTTATTGTGCGCAAGCCAACTCGACGTGCTGCAAACGCGCTCGTTGCTGGCAACCAAGTTGGTTGCCATAGCAATGGCACATGCGATGGATATGCGGTGCCATTGCCGTGCCGACAAGCCCGTGCTGGTGTTACCTTGTCTAGCCAAATGCGCCTTACAAGTGAGCCAAAAAGTTGGGCCCTAAGCCTAACTCCATTGTGAAAAAAAGAAGGCAGGGGCAGTGCTGTAGTGGTTCGAAAATTTTTTGGCCTTGTATTAACCCGCGCAGGACGCTGCTTAGGCCACCTTTGCCGCAGTAGCGGAAAAGCGTTTTAAGATTTGAAAGGGGCTGTTAGCATTAGTCGCAGTACACAGCACAGTTTGTTCACTTACTCACAGGTGTGTACGCTGCATAATTGTGAGTACTAGTATGATCCCTGACATCTAAAAAAAGTTACTGGCAATCATTTGGATCATTGTATAACATTTGCGCAGCCCTAATAAATCAAAACGGTGCGCTAGTTCTTTGTTTTATTTTTGTGACCCCTAATGTCACCAGCATGGCTCATATACATTTGAATCCTCAGAGTCTGTCAAAGAATTTAACTAGCATGAAAAATGCTAATGTAGACTTTATTATTGTTTGCCGAGTGGAGCGGTTCAAAATACTACTGTTTATTGAAGTAGCAGTGCTCATATTCACTCTGCATGATTTAGGGGATGCTGAATATTTTCTACATATCTTTCTTTCTAAATGCAAGCCTTGTTTTTGATACTGCCCCACATTTGCGCTTTCGTGATAAAAAAATTAATTTTTGTACCTGTAACTTGCTCCAAAAGTAACATTTTGCTGCTCTATAAATTGCTCCAAATTCTATTTCAACTGCAGCACGCCTGATTAAGTGTTGTGTTCTGCTAATGTATATTACTTAAACTGTACATATTGTGAGCGTACCAATATCAGTGATTCTTCTTTGTCATCTCGACATATCATAATTTGTAAAATTTTATCTGTATATGCCATCATCAGTACTGAACAACTCGGCTCAAATAAAGCAGTTCCTCATAATATTGTACAATCATTTTGTATATTTTCCTAAGTGCACTGGATGCCTATTAGCAAAATTTACTATATAACTAATAAAAATAGGTCCAACCATAGTTTCGAACTGTGGATCTGTGTAGCCTCTCCCGTACAGATGTATCAGTTTGGAAAAAAGCTTGAACTTGAAAAGTTAGTCTATTGAGTAATTTTGTGTTGCTTTGCTCAGATACTGCAAGAGAGAAGTAGTCAGGATCGTAAAGTTAAGCCCAAGAATGATGTAGAAGCAAAGGACAAGACTCCGAGAAGACTTGGTGCATTTGAAGTTTCCGAGCGGAGGTTAGCGCGACCGACAACTCCAAGAACACCAACAAGGCAGCCACAGCGTCCCACGAAGCCTCTTAGTTCAGTGGAAAACATTGGTGAGCTGTTATCCTTCATCTGAGTTTTTTTTATTATTATTCTGATTCTGTCTCATGACTAGTTCTGAGAATTATATTTCCTGTATAATCAGAAAGCATAATCAGTGCAGCTAAACTAAGAGTTCGTCCCTTTAAAGAATAAATATCCTATGCTTTTACTTCCAGCATGCAGAGTCTGACTTTTGCAGATGAACTTGTGTGAAGTGCTCATATTGCTTTCGTCAAATCCTTATCTGATGTCACACTAGACGTTATGAAGTGCGCAAGCTCAATGCTACTATTTGGATTGCTCATTAAGGTTCTTTTCATCTTGCAGCTGAACTGTACAGGAGCCAGCGATAGTTTTTATGCAGTGGCAATACATTGAATGGTTGCTATAAAGAAGCCATAGAGCTGTATTGGCACAGCTTACAGCAACTAGCAGGAGCACATTGAAGTATTAAGAATAGCCAGAAGCCCTTTGTGCTCTGTTTCTAGTCTTCAACAATGTACCAAATTGCCCAGATCTCTATTATTTTTTAGGAATATAACAAGCTTGCATATAGGTAAAGCATTTGAAGACACTCTTGCTAGTTAAAGGACAGCATTTTCAAAATCTTGGGGAGCTTTTGGGCAGCGGCATATTGGACCTCCAGGACTACCAAAGGTTGCGAGAACTCTCTTATGCAGTTTTGCGATTTTTGGCGCCCAACTGACTTGGGTACGTGTACACCTGTATTTAATTTTTTTTCGTGTGTGGTTCTTTCTAGTTTACTCTGTTAAAACTAGTTATCTATTCAGCTGCTGTTCACTGGGAAAGTTATAAATAATGTGGAGCAACCCAGCTATGAGATTGGGTTGCCTTGTGTAATTGGTAATTAATACCAGTTGTATTCTTGCTGCGATTTGTTTCATGCTGCAGATGCAGAATATGAAAAGCAAGAACGCCCTTGCCAACAACAAGAAGCAAACTTGATTGGAAGTTGTGATCGAAGCAGCACAATGGAAACTTCTCCCGTCCGTCAGAATGAACCGGGGAATGTTTTCAAAGCAACGCCGAAGCAAGTTGTTCGTAGCAGGTGCACACAGATTTTCATTAAATCATTTCTTGCTATTCGTTGTGTGGGCCATGATCAATGTATGTGCAAATGGTATAAGAAATTTTTGTTTTGTACAAAGTGAAAAAATATGCAGCTGACTATATTTTGATCTCTGAGAACACTCCAAGGGGCACTTCTTGTTGTGTAAAGCACTGTAGTTTTTTTATTTTCAACTGACATGCATTTATTCTAAAAAATAGAAATTTGCTCTAGGGGGTGTTACAATATCATCTCTTTATAGAGTAAGCTGCAATAAAGGAAGGCAAGCAGCATTATAATAGCAGTGAATACAATGATTAGTCATAACTCTCATAATGTATCAGTTCACAACTCAATTCAATCCGCTGTTTAAACATGGTGAACTGGGGATTTGAAAATTTTCCTTGTTTGCTTTGACAGGTTTTTCTCATCGCCAGCGACTCCTCGGTCACCAAACAAAAAGCTTACAGAATGGCAAATTCAGCTTTCAAAACCTGTTTCTGATGGCAGTCAAGTTGTGCCTAGCAAACTCCCACATAGCAATGCATCACAGGGCAAATTTCAGTGGCGGTCAAGTCTCGTGCCACAGGGGGCTTCATCCACACCAGTTTCTAAGCAAGCGTCGACACCGTTCAAGCGACTGCGGCTGAGCATGTCTGCGTTGGAAGGTAGTAGAAAACCTTCATGCGTCTTCGGCCCAGAAGCGAAAGAACACCGCAAAAGTGTAGGAGAGTTGGAGGCAGATAACAATGCTAGTCAGTGTAGTAGCTTTGGCCAGCCAGAGTCCTCAAGTTTGCCAGAACATAACTTCAGCGAGCCACCAACATCTAACAGGAGCTCACCCACTAAAAACACAGATAGCTCACAAGCTGCGCAGCGCCCCAAGTCTCTCTTTGAGGTTCTAGAAGAAAAGCACCGATCTGCACAGATGCCAAATGCCACTTCGCCTCCTGCAAAGTTCAAAAACCCCTTTGCAAAAACACCAACATTGCCTCCTACGAGAGATCTCACAGTTCTAGGATCAGATGAAGAAGACCCTATGCCGCCGAGTTGTCGGAAGATAACAATGCAAAAAGATTTTTCTTTGACAAAAATGCAAAAAGCCACTTTTTCAATATTAGATGAGCTGGAAGAAAGTGAAGAGTCTCCAATCCCGAAGTTCAAAGGCAGCTGTGAATCCTCCGAAGCACAAGGAAACTCGTCCCAAGATTTGGATTACCCAAATTCGCTAGAAGATGAGTCGCCATGGCCTTCCAGACCAGCAGTCATACAAGACCCCTGCGCAACTGATGTGAATGAAGACAGTGATGATGATGACCTAATGGTGACTAGTGCCATCATTGTAAATAGACCCCTTGACACACCAAAGCACCTCATCGCTAAGCCACGAATTCCATCGAAGCCCATCAAGAAAGGTGAGCTGCCATGTGGTGGTATTTGCCTATGTATTTTTATGCTTGTACGTAATATCCTTGCTGGAGTTGAAGATTGGACTAATTGGTTCATGCTTGTAACAGCCCGAAATCCTAACAGGACACTGTCCTGCCTTCTTTTTCATGTGTCCTATCACAATGCTGCACTGTTCGTTCCCCTGCTATAGTTTCATGCCTTGGCAAAGACGTCTGCAAGATTTTGCCTTTAGGGAGTGCAAAACCACGTTACATCACAGCAAGAGAAGGTGCGGGGTGGTAACAAATGCCTATTTTGTTTGCAGCCCTCTGAGACGCCCACATGCCCTGGCACAGATACTCAGTGAAAAATCTTGTTGATATGCACCTGCATAATATGTTTTTTAGCCTAATACGATTTTGTTTCTGTTCCCCGCCAACGTTACTCCTGGCCAGTCTCTTTCGTTAGTACGATTTTTTGCACTATATATTTTAATTTCCAGTTCCCATAAAAAACATATCAATCAGATTCCTCTGTATATTAGTTCTGTCTAACTTGTTCTTTGCTGCTATCTAAGTTGAAGCAGTACTGCGTGTAGCAAACAATGGCAATGTTTTGGTGATGGCCATGTTTTGGAACGTGATCCAATGCACTTTTTCTCTTTATGCATTCTGACAGCTTTCACAAGGACTTTTCTTTCACTGCTGTGTATTTTGCTGCTGCCAGGATGTCTGGCATTTTGCTTCTGAGCGCGAGGTTGCAGCTTTAATTTTTTCTCCCTTGAAATCTTTCTTCATCCATACTACAAAGGACTACAACTTTCTGTCTGCCACTTTTAATAATAATATCTGGGGTTGTACATTCTAAAACCACGATGAAATTATAAGGCACACTGTAGTGGAGGGCTCCAGAAATTTTGACCATCTGGGCGTTCTTAAACATGCACTGACATTGCACAGTACACAGTTCTCGAGCGTTCTACTTCCATAGAAATGGGAACGCCACGACTGGGCATGTCAGTGCTTTGCGCCATTTCACTCATACATTACCGAAGGCATTCATTGAAACTATTACTGACTGGACAAGCCCACTCTCTGTGCAATACCTCAGTCAGAGTACTTGAGGTATCCGTTAATAAATAAGCGATTCAGACACACTTGCCTCTCAAGTTGCACTTCATTGTACTATAGTGCAATAAGTTTACTTGTCTTTACATGTTGACTGTAACAGTGCACAAGTATGCAAGTGGCGCGATTTGACGCTCTATTGCACTATCACTTAGACTTGGCAGCATTCAGTAGTACTCGCTGTTGGGCTAGCTGGTGCATGTCTGAATTCAATAGTCAATTCGGCGCCAAAATCATGACCGCACTGCAAACGAAGAAAGCACAGACAAATACCTGTCCTGTCGGTGCTTTCTTCGTTTGCAGAGTGGCCGTAATTTTGGCACCAAATTGACTATTGAATTCAGGCAGTGTTCAGCTTCAAAGGCATGTGGCACAAGTGTCAACCCTCATTTGGTTCTTGCACAAACTTTAAAGCTCAACTAACATATACGTTTTAAGCAGCACTTGCGGCTCATTCTTTAAAAATGACACCTTTGTGCTTACATCAACGGGATGTGCTAGTCATACTGCATCAGAATTTTTGTGTAAATATGCCTTTACGAATTATTATTAGGGTTTTTCTTGCCGAAACTATTATGTGATTACAATATACATTGTAGTGGGAGACTCCAAAATAATGTTGACTGCCTCCTGTTATTTCACATGTGCATAAATTATAGTGCAAATGTAAGAGCACCACATGGTCGTTCTTGCATTTTGCTCGTATGTTTCACTTTAGGTGTACTTCTTGCAGACCTAAACAGAGCTTTATTTTATCATTACACAGTGCCATAGGCGACTTCGCAGAAAAAAATTTGTCTTACTATTTGTGCTTGCTGTTATACCTTCTGGTATTTGAAGAGGTTGTGAGAAGGTCGCTCCTAAAATGACAATTCAGAACCGCCGGCTTTCACACGCACTAACTAGATGACGTCAACTAAGTAGAGTAGACCTTCATGGGGGCTTTGCCTATCGAGGAACACAGTACTTCACGGTACTTGCAAGTGCGTGCAATTGGGACACCCTTCGGCGTCTTTGCTATATACAATCCGCGCCAACTTCAACTCTGCATCTGACGTCATATTAAGCAGCGGTTTTGTGGGACGCGAATCGCATATGGCAAAGACGCTGATGAGCACCTGTTGCGCGTGCTCGCAGATGCCGTGGAGTTCCGCGTTTCTCGATAGGCAATGCGTCTATGCAGGTTGATGTATTATAGTTGGCGCGTGTGGCTGCCGATGGTGCCACATTGTCATTGTAAAGCGACCTTTTCACGACCCCTTTAAATGTATAAATATAAATGAACACTTCAGGGGCAAAGGCCATTTGTAAAGCATTGTTTTGCCAATGATGTGTTCATTTGTCTCTTTGGTATATCCTGATTAGTATATACTATGTGAAACACGGTACAGGTACTGTCTTGTGTCTCCTTGTTTATTCCACCTCAGTTTTGTCTTTGATATGGTCATACATGACACCAAAGCAGTTTTGCCAACCAATTTCAGGAAAATACCTGATGCCAAGGTCAAAATTACCCTACTTTACCCTACACAACTTTTTTCCATTACCGTACATTTTACCCTACATCGTGTAACAATGATAATGTACAGGTATACGTACACCCTACAACATTTAGACGTATGGGGTGCCTCCAGGATCAGTCCACCTATTACCGCGTCGATAACATCTAATAATGCCATCATTTGATGTCGCATTGTGATGCCACCATGATGTTACAATGACTTAATGATGACATGAAAAATTCTGGCGATATACCATGCCACAATGACACCATGAGACGGTGGCATTATATCGGAATAATTTTTTGTAACACTCACGTTGACGCTGACCATCACTTTTTGTGTATATGATGAGGCATTCAAAGCTTTCACGTTAATAACTGAAGCCTACCATCATTGCAAAATTTAGAAGCCCCTCCACGCAATGAAGAGACTGGAGATGACAGAGAGGGGAAAAAAAACGCCCCCCGAGAAAGAAAAAATAAAATTAACATAGGACCGAGAGTGTTCAACGTATTATTTTTTGTCTTTTGTGCTGCTGACATTGGAATTAAGACAACTACGATTAAGATCTTTCGAGGAGTGTAACCTTCGGATATTTTGGCACAGATCTTCTACATTTTTCACTGACCAACGAGAAAACAAGCGTCGAAATTACCCTACGTCACCGCCCTACTACCCTACGCTGGCCGAAAAGTTCCAAAAATCTTCTATATCTAGAGTAATTGCTCTATGGTTGGCAACCCTGCACCAAAAGTGCTTTGAGTTTCGTATATTGTTGAGCGTCTGTTGACAAACTTTTTTGTGCTTTTTCAGTACTATCAAAGCAACGACGCCTTGGTCTTTCGAAGTCTGGTATGAAGAAGGATATCAGCCAACCAAGTTTGTTAGAAAGTCTTGCCAAGTTCCAATTCAAGAAATCATGTGTGTAAATAAAGTGCAAGCTTTGTAATGTATATGTTTTGTAGACTTCATAGACAAGAATCTATAAAAGGAGCTTCTAGATATTGCTACTAATTGTCTCAATGACTTGATTTCTATGTTATGTTTTCAAACCATTCACTCTATTGTAAAATAACAAGTTTGCATCAGTTTGTGGGAACACTGACATGTACATCTTTGCCCTTGTAAAAGCTTCCATGCTAAAGCGGCATATATATTTCTCGAAGCGTGAGTTTTTGTTTCATGATGAAACAAGCGCAAAAATACACACACTCAGAGAGGACACAGACAAGCGCTTACTAGCAACTGAAAATTTTATTTCGAAGCGAACACTAATAAATACATCACACGCATGTACGTCATTCCCAACTTCCCCTGTCATCATCAACAACGTGATATAACAAACTATGCATGCGCCCACAACCGGAAACAAACACGTGTCAAGAACTAAGAAAAGAAAATGTGTGTATTTTTGCACTTGTTTCATCATGAACCTTTACCAACACCCCAACTGGCAGTCATCCTAAATGGAGTTTTTGTTTGTGGGCTGCGTCACATGTCCCCATTTCTCTCACCAGCTGTTGAAACATGGCAATGCCAATGCTCAAAGTGCCTGTGTGATTAAAGTATGCGAAGGATGTTTACACCTCATATGCGGACATGAAAACTATTCGTCACTTGAGCAATAATCACAATTGCACAGCACGTGTGAAGTGGAGATGCTCATGAGGGATGAGTGTACACAAGTTTCAACACGCATCGAAGGTGCCGAGTGCTCCCCTGGTGGGCCTATTCAAAACTCGGTGACAGTTTTAGCTGCGCAAAATTACTTCAAAAGATTCATCCTGCCACATTTTCACTATTCTGTGCCAAACATGGTTAAAATGTCTGTGGGCTGGTTGGTTGATCATTATGGCATATGGTAGTGCACATCGGGTGAAACGACTTGGTGTGCACTATCATATGCCATAATGACCAAACGTCGTGATGTTTTCATGTTTCGAAAACTAATCTACTGTCTCGGAGGTTCAAATGGCCAAGCATGTCCCCATACCCATGTGCACACACCACACTACTAGTGGATGCGAGTCATCATCAACCTGACTACGCCTGCTGTAGGTCAAAGGCCTCTCGCATGTTCGATCAGTGAACGCGCGGTCCTGCACTGGCTGCGAATTCCGGCTGCGGCGGCTGCATTTCCGATAAAGGCGGAAATGTTGTAGGCCTGTGTGCTCAGATTTGGGTGTACGTTAAAGAACACCAGGTGATAGAAATTTCCGGAGTCTTCCACTAAGGTGACTCTCATAATCATTGGGTGGTTTTGGGACATTAAACCCCACATATCATTCAATCAATCACCCGCTTGCCTTCCCTGGGAATCCAGTCAGTTCCCCTAATGACCAGTGGTTATCCTACCGATGCGCTACGTGCCCTCCCCATGAGCATTGCTTATTCTTGATCGTTCGACTATGATGTCCTTAACACCGGTTTGTTCCCTGACCCACTCTGCCCTCTTCTTGCCTCTTAAGGTTACACCTATCATTTTCCTTTTCATACCTCGCTGTGTTGTCCTCAATTTAAGCTGAACCCTCCTTGTAAACCTCCAGGTTTCTGCTCCGTAGGTAAGTATTGGCGGGATGCAGCTGTTATATACCTTTGTTGATTATTTTTCACGTTCTGGGCTGGGACAAGAAAACGAGAAAGAAGAAGAGCGCGAGCGAGGGACGCGGGGACGCTCAAGTGAACAGATCAAGTGAACGTGGTCACTGGTGCCGACACAGAAGAGGAAGCCGCTAAACTATGCCGAGAAGCGCGCACAATAATGAAATCGGCCGGCATGACATTGCGAAAATGGACAACAAATTCAGCAAATTTGATGCGCACGCTTGAAAATCAAGTGGAATCTACTAGTAATGAGATGGTCGTTCTTCACGAAACGTCGGTCAAGGTCCTGGGTTTGGTTTGGAATCCTGCAAAGGATGAATTCAACTTTTCGGTTGAAAATCTACTCCGGTTTTTGACAGCACAGACGTGTACAAAACGATTTGTCTTGCAGTCAGCATCAAGAATATTTGACCCGTTGGGATTTGTAGGACCATATACTATTGCCATACGAATATTGTTTCAGAGACTGTGGATACGAGGAATTGGCTGGGATGAAGTCCTACCCAATGACCTGCAAAAAGAATGGAATGATTGGGTCATCCAGCTGCCGCAACTGCAAGACGTCGTCGTTCCTCGCTATCTGGGCGGCGGAGCAAGGAAGACCAATGTGCTTCAAGTACATGTTTTCTGCGATGCCAGTCCAGCGGCATACAAAACAGCGATATACGTCGTATCAAGTCCTGAGGAGCCGATACTGTTGATTGCGAAGTCCCGTGTAGCACCCATTAAGGAGACAACGCTGCCGCGATTGGAGCTGCTGGCTGCCTTAATCGGCTCAAGAATGTTGGCATACGTAAAAAGGGCTTTGAGGAATGTTCAAGTTGACTACACGATGTGGACAGATTCCGCCATTGTGTTGTCATGGATAAAAGGTGACGTCAAAAGGTGGAAACAGTTCATAGCCAACAGAGTCAATGAAATTAGGTGCACTACAGATCCATCAAAGTGGAGATACTGTCCTGGAACGGACAACCCGGCTGACCTACTCACACGTGGCGCGACGCTTGAAAGACTGCTGTGCAGCTCAAAATGGTGGCATGGTCCCGAGTGGCTAATTAAACCGATGTCTGAATGGCCCCTACAGTTCTGTGAACTAGACATAGCGGAAGCCACCCAAGGTGAAGTTACAACAGTCAACGTCGCACTAATGACACGCTTCTCAGTTCCGATAATTGATATTCAACGGTACAGCAGGCTTCAGCACCTACCTACTCAGAGTCACTGCGTGGATTTTCAGATTTACTGACCGATGCAGAAAAAGAAGTAATCATACAGGACATCTCGTGGCAACAGAAATCCTGAACGCTGAACAGTATTGGATAAGATGTACACAAGAGCAAGGCTTTCTTGAAGAACTCACCACTTTGACCAACGGCCAACCAGTCGAGTCTACATCTCGAATCGCTGAACTACGCCCTTACATAGACAAAGACGGAATTCTTCGGGTTGGAGGTCGTTTATCCCTCATGCATTCCACACAAGATGTCAAGCACCCAATCATAATGCCGTCAAGCCACCACTTTTCGACACTTTTGGTAAACAGAGCCCATCTTCAATGAGGGTGGCGATTTGGGCTTGTTGGTATGGTTGCATGATGATGGATGGCACGTAGCGCATCGGTAGGATAACCACTGGTCATTAGGGGAACTGACTGGATTCCCAGGGAAGGCAAGCGGGTGATTGATTGAATGATATGTGGGGTTTAATGTCCCAAAACCACCCATCTTCAAGTCTTACATGGAGGAGTTAGAGATACACTTACGCAGCTTCGGGAACGCTACTGGATTTGTCGAGCTCGCTCTTTGGTAAAAAGAGTGCTGCATGGCTGCAATATATGCAAGCGTTTCAGTGCGGGCCCAGGAACTGCTGAGACTGCTCCGTTAACAAGTCATCGAGTGACACCAACGAACCCGTTCGAAGTTGTAGGAGTCGACTTCGCGGGCCCTCTGTATGCACGCACGGAGAAAGGGGACACGAAGTGCTACGTTGCACTTTTTACGTGCGCCGTATCTAGAGCCGTGCACCTCGAGCTTTTCTCGGAAATGACATCCGAGGCTTTCCTGCTGTGCCTACGACGATTTGCAGCTCGGAGAGGATTACCTAGGGTGATCTATTCTGACAACGCACGAAGCTTTCACAAGACATAAAGCGGCTAAACCGAATGTTCTCTGAAGAGGACGTCGCTGGTCACCTCAGCACCAACGGCATTTCGTGGAAGTTTATAGCACCAAATGCTCCTTGGTGGGGTGGATGGTGGGAGCGCCTTGTACGATCAGTGAAGCTTCCGCTGCGAAAAATTATCGGCAAAGCTCATCTGAACTACGAAGAAATATCGACAGTGCTGGCGGAGGTCGAAGCAGTCGTAAACTCTAGGCCTCTGACTTTCATCGAGACAGATGCAGGAGAACCTTGCGCTTTGACGCCAGCCGAACTTCTCCTTGGACGAAGATTGACTTCCATACCGTATGCGACCGCTGACGAAGTCAACAGTAATTCCAAACGATCAGACGCCATACGCACAAACAACTACAGGAAGCTGCTGGTTGAAAGTTTTTGGAAGCGTTGGCAAAAAGAATACCTGTTGCAATTACGATCTGCACACTTTGCCGACACGAAATCAAATACAGCATTGAAGCAAGGGGACATCGTTCTCGTGCAGTTGGACAACACTCCACGCCAGCTATGGAAGCTTGCAAGGGTCACGGAAGTGTACCGCAGTGCAGACGGTCTCATTCGTTCTTGCAAGATCAAGTTGCAAGGCGGTCACCTTGCAATCAGGCCAATACAAAGACTGTACCCACTTGAACTATGTGTTTAACTTAGTGCGGCCGGGAATGTTGATTATTTTTCACGTTCTGGGCTGGGACAAGAAAACGAGAAAGAAGAAGAGCACGAACGAGGGACGCGGGGACGCTCAAGTGAACAGAGCGCTTCCGAACGGAGTTAAATAAAGAAGTATTTTTTTTGCCTTATACCTTAAAGACGGAGTTGAGTCTGATCGCAGTGTCTGGAACGCCATCGTCTTAACACCTTCCTCTTGAGGGATAATGCAAATCTACAAGTCACGATTTCAGAATGCTTGCTGAATGTGCTCCACCCCATTTCTAATAACGCAATAGCATTAAAGAGCTCGTTTCGCAAAAATTACAGTGTTGGTGTCGGCATCATTTGTTGTGACCGAAAAATTGAGAAGGATGCAAATAAAATGAATAAACGATAAAAAAATTGGAGTAGAGTGGGCACCGAACCAGGGTTGTTTGGGTTCGCGTGGCAAGCGAATGTTCTACCACATAGCCACGCTTCTGCTTGTGAAAACAGTGAAAAGAACTTCCTCTGCTTGGAAATCCAGTGAAAGTAGCTTTTATGCTTCACAAACACACAGGTCCTGTATTACATGCTTCACAAT